AAGAGTCACCGGCTAGGGGAAACGGCTGGGAGTGGGGGGGGGGGAGGGGGGCAGGGGTCTCAGGGCTCTCCTATAGGAATAGTACCTGATCAGCTGCCAGGACTGACATTAGGATTTTATTCCTTTTCTAGTTTTTTTTGCACACATATTAGAATGCACATTATAGGCCGGAAGTTTACCTTGAAAACCCCTAAAATTTAATATTGATCGCTATCACATGGGGACTGGCAAGTGTGTCGTAGTGATCGGGCCGCTTTCCAGCACAAATCACTTCTATGTGGAAGCCGAAAGCTGAAAAGAGCCGATTTCACAGATATAATAGAAATATCTGAGCTGTTCTTCTTGTCAAATGACTTGTATTTCTACCCATCCTGTCCTGAGATTTACACAGTACGGCACTGTCTGGCAGGGAAGGAACCTGATTTTTCCCCCGCAGAAGTTCAGTGACGCTTGCAGGACCTCTCCACCCCCCATCCTGTGAACTGAGAAGCAGCAGTCTGAGCTCACCTCCCTGGCACCCTGCTCTCTCCTCGTATCAGCATGTTCCTTGTCTGCACATGAGCACTGGAGGACTACTGATTGACCCCTCGTGCTGCTTCTCCATCTCCCAGTCCGAGCTCTGCTGTACAAGGACGCCATGAAGCTGACGCCAGGTCAATCTCAGGTAGTGGTATTTGGAAAATATACGTAATGAGGTATTAATGGCTACAGAGCTGCATTGAATTGTGTCTCTTTGTATCTGCCCGGAGTTCAGCTTTAAAGGAGAACTATGGGGTCAGGTCTTTTCCCCCATAGTTCTCCTCAGGGTCACGGGAGGACACAAACTAGCGTCCTCCCGTCACCTTAAGCTCAGTATATAGGGAGCTACAGCTCGCGGTATATTGAGACGCCGCAGCCGGTGAGGAGGACGGACTATAGAAGACCAGAGAAAGGGAAAGGATACAATGTGACGCGTGTTTCTGGGGTCCCAGGGGGGCGATTTGTTCAATAAATAACATTGTAAGTCAGATAATATCCTTTTCATGCACCGGGCTTGTAAAACCGCACTGCGAAGGTCTGAAATGAATAAAAGGTCAGAGCGGAAAGCCGGGCGCGGCGACCTTCTCCTATAAATCCGATAATGTTTAATGAAGAACAATATTGCGCAATATAATAAAAATGATGACACCTGTGGGGACCCCGGGGGAAAATGTCATCTGACGGCCCCACATGGCCAGCAGCAGCTTCATACTCCACTAAGGGAAGGCTACTGACCCCTCCAATGGTTGGGATGGGGCTCTTGATTAAAGGAGAACTATGGGGGGTCAGGGCTTTTCCCCATAGTTCTCCTAAGGGTCACAGGAGGACATATACTAACCTCCTCCTGTGACCCGAAGCTCAGTATATAGTATAGGGAGCTACAGCTCGCGGTATACTGAGACGCCGCAGCCGGAGCGGATCCCGACAATTATGTCTGGATCCGCCCAGCTGCGTGAGTGACAGCTGGCTCCTCCTATCTAGAGGCAGCTGTACCCGCCCCCTCCCCCGTCCGTTCCACAAGTCAGCGCTGGAGGATCAGAGCAGGGAGGGGGGAATCTCTGCCGTGACAGGATCGAGAGGTGAGCGAACGCCGGTATGTGTTCCCTCACCTCCCGATCTACTGAGCCGACCTGTGACAGTCTCATTGTCACAGGTCGGCTAGAACTATGAGGTGAGTGAAAAGCACCCCCTCCCCCCCCCTCATAGTTCTCCTTTAACAAATCAGTCGGCTTGAGTTCTCAGGAAGATCTGAAGACATATGAACGGAGTTCTGGGGGCCCTCCAGATTATCCAGCCGAGGAGCCGGAGCGTTTTGTGGTGGAGGATCCAATATACGGCTGCCAGGCGGGTTGGGGGGTCAGTGTCCGGCGTGCCGCTATAAAACCATTCGTCTGTCTGAGGAAGAATCGCGGGTGGGAGGGAATTCTCTATTAATGGCGCCGTATCTCTGGCTCTGCTCGTCACCGTAAATTATTCATCGGTCTCATCTGCCGCCGTAATCTGGACGCGCGCTCTCTTGGCCTCTGTCCGCTTGTGAGCCGCAGCTGAGGCCCCGGCAATGGGGAGCGAGAGCCACGACCGCCACTTTACAACAAATGGACTTCATTAGCCGCGGCCCCAATCTGTGATGGAGATGAATGATCCGGATCAGTGGGAAGGAGGAAGGAAGGTGGCGGGAACGAACGCAGAGATCAGAGCGGCAGGTAAAAGTGTCATCGGAGTGACTTAGAGTGGCACTCTGCTCACTGGAACAGCGTATGAAGACCAGAGACATGGAACGCGGGAACCTCGGCGCTGCGACGCGTGTGTTCACTTACATTGTAGAGAGCCCCGAGCTCAGTGAGGCCCCATAATCCAATCATGGACCAGCAACGGTGAATTATCTCATATCGGCCCGCTGGTCCCAGAGCTGAAAGAACAGTTAGTTTCACATGGAGCAGGGAAGGGTTGGAACCTCTGGCAGGTTTTCATTGCTGTTGGTGTCCCTTTAGGGAATATATCTTCTTTACTTCCTGTGTGCTCTCCATGACAGGAAATGAACAGACTCCACCAGGAAAACAAACAGCAACCCCTGCCAGGATTTTACTGGAGGGATGGATAAGTAGTGCTGGAACTCTGCGAATGGCCTACTGGTATTACCTTCTGACTGCAGTGGTGGTTATGCCGGGTGCCTGGATTCTGGCGGCTCCTAAACACAAAAACAATCCCCACAATTCCCTTGGTTTGTAATAAGAGGTTGAAGCTCCTCATCACAAGTACAAGACCAGATACAATTTTATTCCGATGTAAGTTCGGATAGAAGACCAAATGATCAATATTATTGTTCAGGTTCTATAGAGCGCCAACAGGTTGTGCTCACAATAGAAATGTTACAATATGCAAGAAATACAACACATTTCATGGGTCCAAATACGCTGCTCTGTGTCCCGGCGGGGAGGGGAGAAACTGTGATAGCCGGCTGAGCGCTGCGGGAGGAGAGCGTTGTGAGCTTCCAGCGTCTCCTCCCACACAGCTCAGCCTCCTATCACAGTCCGGCAGAGCGTTGTGTGTGTGTGTTGGGGGGTTGAGGGGCTGCGCTGTCACAGGAGGCTGAGCTCTCCCTGCACCGCTTGCTCAGCCTCCTGTGACAGGCGAGAGGAGAGCGGGTACAAGTCATGTGATCGCTGAGTGTCTGTACATAATTGAGGACAGAGTATGGTTCCTATATCCTCAATTATGAATGAATGGGAAGTGATCTACATCACATCTACATCACTTCCTGTTCATTCATAGTTGTAGTTATAGTAAACATACAATGTTCTCATGTTATCAATGAACAGGAACTCTCTGCATAGAGGATTCCTATTCATTGATAACAGGGGATATAGAAAAAGAGATTGAGGACTCTGCGTGTCTCTGAGGATTCTGTGCGTCTCTGAGGGCTCTGCGTGTCTCTGAGGGCTCTGATTAAAATTTCCATTTCGGTGCACCTCTAAAAAAAAAAAACCTATGAAAGGTTCTCTTTCTTATCTCCATTCTAGTCAGGTCCTAAAATAAGAGTTTTGGATGGAGTTTTACTATAATGCTTTCCTCACTACTTAGAGGTGCACATGGGGCATAGACAAGGTCTCGGGGTCAGAGTCGGGTAGTTTTTGGAGATTTTAGAATACTGGAAATGAAAAGACGACGCGCATGGTCCTCTACGGGGTTAAAACTCGGCGGTTCAGCATACGGGCACGCCATAAAACGGTTATAATCCCGGTGAAGTGCTCTCCATCCACTCCTCTCACGGCTCAGTCAGGGCACATTTTATGTTTCACATAAAAAAAAATTCTGTTCATCCGACGCCGCGTACAAGGTCAGCACAATGCACAGAGCGCCGCGCCGAGGTTTTATGACGCGGCGGATAAAACAAACGCTTTTGGGCAACGGAAAGTCTTTTTTTCTTTATGTTAATCCGGCTCGGCGCTCCTAAAACACGTCTGAGTGTAAATATACATTATTGAGCCGAGGATTTAAAATGTTCCTTTGCAGCTGCCGGAGGGGGAGGGGCACTAAATTTAAGAGCTAAGCTCCATTTTTTTAGGCCAATGGGACCTTGTGAGGCCGGAGAGCGAACCAATCATCTGTGTGACTAGGATTTATGGGGTCTCATGCTGTAATGTGGGCGCACTCTCTAGAAGCAGTCGCGGCACCCACTAGATGGACAGAAATCGGCTGGTTAGGGACCTTCTTTATTAAACCTCCAAATGATGGAATACAGAAATGATGGTCCAATGTTTTTTGGGGGGATATTTCATTTCTGACCGTTTTGCCGGCTTCGAATGTTGCTCTGGGCAAATCGGTGCGATCATTTCACCTAATAAAGGAATTATCTGGACTCTTCAGTGTCCCAGCAGAACTTGAAATTGGATATTCCCTGGATCAGCAACCTACTGAGGCCTTTTTCAGCCAAAGTTCTCGAGGTTCCTCCAGAAGTTTTTTGGGATTCCCGCTGAGGTTGTTAGGAGTACCTCCCGAGTTTCGTAGAGCTTTCTTCTAAAGTCGCTAAGGGTTCCACCTGAACTCGTTAGGGGTTCCTACTGTAGTTTTTAGGGGTTCCTCCTAAAGTTGTTTCTTTTGAGGCCATAAGGGGTTTCTTCTGGAGTTCTTAAGGGTTCCTAATGAAGTTGCTAGGAATTCCTCCTAAATTTCTTAGAGGTTCCTCCTGAACTTGTTAGGGGTTTCTCTTGAAGTTGTTATAGTTCCCCCTGAACTCGTTAAGGGTTCCTACTAAAGTTTTTAGGGGTTTCTATGGAGGTTGAAAGCGGTTCCTCCTGAACTTTAGGGGTTCTGCCTGGTGTTGTTAGAGGTTCCTCCTAAAGTTGTTTCTTTTGAGGCCATAAGGGGTTCCTCCTGAACTCGTTAGGGGTTCCTACTGAGGTTTTTAGGGGTTTCTTTGGTGGTTGTTATCGGTTCCTCCTGAACTCGTTAGGGGTTCCTACTGAAGTTTTCAGGGGTTCCTATGGATGTTGTTAGGGGTTCCTCCTAAAGTTGTTTCTTTTGAGGCCATAAGGGGTTCCTCCTGAACTCGTTAGGGGTTCCTACTGAAGTTTTCAGGGGTTCCTATGGATGTTGTTAGGGGTTCCTCCTAAAGTTGTTTCTTTTGAGGCCATAAGGGGTTCCTCCTGGAGTTCTTAAGGGTTCCTAATGAAGTTGTTAGGAATTCCTCCTGAGTTTCTTAGAGGTTCCTCCTGAACTCGTTAGGGGTTCCTACTGAAGTTTTCAGGGGTTCCTATGGAGGTTGTTAGGGGTTCCTCCTAAAGTTGTTTCTTTTGAGGCCATAAGGGGTTCCTACTGAAGATGTTAGGAGCTCCTCCTGAAATCGTAAGGGGTTTCGTGAGTGGTATTAAGTTGATCTCCTACCTACCCTGACCACCAGAAAACGGGGCTCTTCTACACTGACCTCCTATGTTCGGGGGACACCACCATTTTTACCATCTGCATTTCTTTTCTGTTATTAGTATTTAATTAATTTCAGGATTATTACTGACAATGTTGTACAAAGAATCATCTGCTCGGGGGTGTCACATATGCCGGCCGTGCCGTACTATCCATTCTTATATTTAGAATGTTCTACAACTTCATCACAGTAATGTTGTGTGAACTGCAGGGGATGATTCTTCCCGGCGGAGGTTCCCCGAGGCCTTTCGGGGGGCCTTCCCCGGGGTACACGGGTCGAGAAGCTGTCCTATGAAATGTTACCAGCCGAGTGTAATCTTTGTGTCTTCTTATTGCAGAAGCTGTCGCCCTGGGTGGGTCTACGGAAGATCAACGTGTCGTACTGGGGCTGGGAGGACATGTGCCCGTTCACCAACACCACCCTCCAGTGGCTTCCGGGGGAGCCGAGCGACTCCGGCTTCTGCGCTTATTTGGCGAGGGCCGAGGTGGCGGGACTGAAGGCCAACCCGTGCACGGCCATGACGGAAGGCCTGGTGTGTGAGAAGCCAGTTGGTAGGTGTGACGCAGAGGATATCCTGATAATCTGTAACCTCTTTATTCCGTCGGTAGGGTGGTGCTGTTCTCTGCAGCTCCGGAGGTGTACCAGACAGTCACTGGAACTCGTTTAGCAGCAGGAACTGCTAGCGGAGCCTATAATGCAAAACCTTAGATCAGCCTTTAGTTTAGGTCTTCTTTTAAAGAAGAACTCCGGGAATTTAAAAACTTACCCTTGCAGTGGGGCGAGGGGGGTCAATTGCAGCCTATATAGTCTCAGATTCCTTTGGTGCCCCTTTGGTAGCGCAGCCCATAGACAGAGGACCGGGAGGATGGCCGGCTCCCCAATTATCACCCTTCATATCAGGGAGGCATAAGACTACACGTTGCCTCCCGTGTCATCCACCATCATCTAATCTCCGTTATTGTCTCTCCCTGTTACCTGCATCATTATAAAGGACTCGGGAGAGCTGAGCTGGATGTATCGGCGGCGGATACGGCTTTACCGATCCGCGTAATGAGCGCGGCCATCTCCCCAGCTGCGTATCGCGTCCCCTCCCCCGTCACCTGCGCCGTGTTTTTTTTTCTTCCTGCGTTGTTCAGTAAATTGTCTTGTTGTACCGTGCTGTGTACTTCCTCCTCCAGGGTCGCTCACCCCCTGTTACGTTCTGCGTCCCTGCGGGCGTTATTAAATCGGCTACAAGTCCATTACTCGCGCTGTAAAGTTTATCTCCGAAATCTCCCAGGAAAGGGGAAAAAAAAAAAACAGGTTCCAATTTTAGAAGCGGAACATTCTGTGATCGCGGACGGGAGGCGGAGCTCTGGTAAGGTGGATTACGCCATTTAGTGAACACAGCGGGTGTACAGACCCGGGAACTCAGCACAGGGATGGGGGGAGCCCCTCATAATGGGCACAGCGGGGGTACAGACCCGGGAACTCAGCACAGGGATGGGGGGAGCCCCTCATAATGGGCACAGCGGGGGTACAGACCCGGGAACTCAGCACAGGGATGGGGGGAGCCCCTCATAATGGGCACAGCGGGGGTACAGACCCGGGAACTCAGCACAGGGATGGGGGGAGCCCCTCATAATGGGCACAGCGGGGGTACAGACCCGGGAACTCAGCACAGGGATGGGGGGAGCCCCTCATAATGGGCACAGCGGGGGTACAGACCCGGGAACTCAGCACAGGGATGGGGGGAGCCCCTCATAATGGGCACAGCGGGGGTACAGACCCGGGAACTCAGCACAGGGATGGGGGGAGCCCCTCATAATGGGCACAGCGGGGGTACAGACCCGGGAACTCAGCACAGGGATGGGGGGAGCCCCTCATAATGGGCACAGCGGGGGTACAGACCCGGGAACTCAGCACAGGGATGGGGGGAGCCCCTCATAATGGGCACAGCGGGGGTACAGACCCGGGAACTCAGCACAGGGATGGGGGGAGCCCCTCATAATGGGCACAGCGGGGGTACAGACCCGGGAACTCAGCACAGGGATGGGGGGAGCCCCTCATAATGGGCACAGCGGGGGTACAGACCCGGGAACTCAGCACAGGGATGGGGGGAGCCCCTCATAATGGGCACAGCGGGGGTACAGACCCGGGAACTCAGCACAGGGATGGGGGGAGCCCCTCATAATGGGCACAGCGGGGGTACAGACCCGGGAACTCAGCACAGGGATGGGGGGAGCCCCTCATAATGGGCACAGCGGGGGTACAGACCCGGGAACTCAGCACAGGGATGGTGGGAGCTCCTCATAATGGGCACAGCTGGGTTGTAGATCTAGGTAGTGAGCGGATACTGGGAGCCCCTTGTGGTTGAGCTCAGCAATAGTGTCCCCAGAAAATAAAGAGCTTGTCAGTTCCACACAGAAGAATCCATGCTTCTCCATCAGTGACACGGTGAACAGGAGACATGGAGGCTGCAGTAACGCAGATCCATTAGCTAATGAAGGGAGAGAGGTGAAGGTCGCGGTGAGCCGCCTCCTCTATAGGATATAATGATGATATCTGTATAATGTGTGTGGAGATAACTGGATTATCCGGGCGGCCGGTTGCCTCACACACGCAGCTTCTGCCCCGTAATTGTATTTCCATGTAAGTGCTCTATAGAGGTGACCGGCGACCCGTACCTGGTTATAGGGGAGCCTCTGACTTGGCATACCCCCTGCCCAGGGTCCCGGCTGGTCCTGGCATTGTATGATTGGACCGGCAGTATGTGATGAGATGCACGATGCACACGCTGCTGGATAGAAGATCTCAATGTGTACTGAATATTAAAGTTTAATCCGCTTATATTTTGCCTTCCCTGGTTCTCTGGCGGGTCCCCGGCGGCTGCGTTTGGTTCTGATGCTTCTTCTGTCTTGTCTTTGCAGTCAGCCCCAATCAGAACGCTCGGCCCTGCAAGCTGCCCTGCTCCCTGAGGAACTCCTGCTCCAACTGCACCAGCAACGGCATGGAGTGTATGTGGTGCAGCAACACCCGGCGCTGCGTGGACTCCAATGCTTACATCATCTCCTTCCCTTACGGCCAATGCCTGGAGTGGCAGACCAACACCTGCTCCCGTAAGTACCCAAAAGGGGCCCCTCATGTTGTCTCCTACCACTAAGGTGAATGAAAGGGGCGGGACCAGGGACAGTCAGGGTGGGGAGGAAAGTGATGATGATGTTCGATGTCCTCCAGCCAGGAAATGAGGCGGCCTCTAACTGACCTGCTGCAGCTTCTAATGCACAGTGTGAGAAGCTCCCAGAGTGCAGTGACATCAGAGGAGAGGAGCCGGTACAACCGGCCAAGGCTGAAGGGAGGACGAAGGTCAGATAGAAGACTGAAGGGAAGGACGGAGGTCAGATAGAAGACTGAAGGGAAGGACGGAGGTCAGATAGAAGACTGAAGGGAAGGACGGAGGTCAGATAGCAGACTGAAGGGGAGGACGGAGGTCAGATAGAAGACTGAAGGGGAGGACAGAGGTCAGATGGAAGACTGAAGGGAAGGACGGAGGTCAGATGGAAGACTGAAGGGAAGGACGGAGGTCAGATGGAAGACTGAAGGGGAGGACGGAGGTCAGATACAATATTAATCATGTATTGGTAATGCCATGGCACACACAGACAAAGCACAGAGGGAGTTTGAGGACGTTGGGTGACCGTGCCATGCTAATGAAGGACGGACGTGGTCTGCAATGCTTTGGCCGGCCTCCCACACTCGGACATTATGTGATTCTCGGCAGCCAGTGGTGTGACACTGATAATGGCGGAGATTACACTCAGATGAGGAACTTTCCCGTTCGGCAAACAAATGGGGACAATGGGGCTCTAGGCGAGTGTCGGGGCGACATCTCTTGGTGGGGATGTTAATGGGATTATTGTGAATGAGCAGATTGTAGAATGTATTCTTCAGAATGGCGCAGAGCGCTCGCTGGAGGTCGCCGGTAGCCGAACCCCTCGGACAATGCCGCACGTTACAATTCTATTTACTCCCCGATAACCCCCTGACACGTCCTTGCTGAGGCCGGCCCGTCTTCCTCCCCCGAGCACAATGCGATGCGCTCGGCTCCATCCATAATAATGAGAGCATTTGTATTCGCGCGGTTCCTGCACGTCCGCCGTAACAAAAAGCGCCGGCGTTTAATTCACTTTTCATTCAGTGCCGTCTGATGGAAGAAATGCAGATTTTTTATTAAATAATCCTAATGAAATTTGCCGGCTGTCCGCACGCCGCGGCGCAGATCGAGCTCTCAGCGAGGTTTTATTGTCGGGATTGGACGCCGTTTTCATACCGGAGAAAAGAAAAGATTTAAAGCACATTAACCCCTTCTTCCCCTTATCCCGCAGCGCTCCAGAAGAGCTCCACCCTCCAAGTCCTTGCAGATGCATGACTGCAAACGATCAACTCATCAGACTTACCGCGAGATTTTCCGGTGTCTGTAATAGTAACATGTGGTGAATGTATCCGCCCCCCAAATACACATACCAATGGCGGACCTAAGGATGGAAGGGTCTTGGTGCAAAATGTTTCCTGTTTTCCTGCCGCCTGTTACAAGGGACACGGCCTGGAGGCCAAGTGGGAACCCGTCGGACCCCACTCAGAAGCCCATTGGACACCCCTCCCCGAGCCCCAGGGACCCTGCACTGCCCCACATTCCACCAATTGGGAGTACCCAGAACCAGATCTCACTGCGGCCCCCTCAAGCCTCGGGCCCTGGTACAGCTACACCGGCGTTAGGTCCGACACCGACATACAAACGTATTTCAACGATAGATTGCTCTTAAAGGAGAACTATGGGGTCAGGGCTTTGCCCCATAGTTCTCCTTAGGGTCACGGGAGGACACAAACTAGCGTCCTCCCGTCACCCTAAGCTCAGTATATAGGGAGCTGCAGCTCGCGGTATACTGAGACGCCACAGCCGGAGCGGATCCCGACGGGGAGAGGGGAATCCAGCCCCTCCCCCTGTCACGGCAGAGAGCTGTGACAGGATAGAGAAGTGAGCGAGCGCCGATATGTGTTCGCTCACCTCCCGATCTACTGAGCCGACCTGTGACAGTCTCATTGTTACAGGTCAGCTAGGACTATGAGGTGAGTGAAAAGCCCCCCTTCCCCCCTCATAGTTCTCCTTTAAAGCCTACGCAGAATGGAAGCTGTAACTCCGCCCCCTTTATCAGCTCTTGAAGGGTACGTTCACAATCCCACAAAAATGAAGAAAAATGAACTTACATGCTGACGGATGTTTCACAAGCTCATTACACCCCAATATCACCCAGCTGTATATTGTATTAAACATGTATCCAACTAGAAATACATTGTAGCATGGTTTCATCTCCTTAAAGGGAATGTTCACTTTCTTACAAAAATATCGAAATGAACTTAGTGTTAGTGGCCTTGCACCTTGCACCTCTCCGAGCCCCCTCTGCACTTACCTGTGTAA